GAGCGGTGGGTGTATGGGACCCAGGCATCCCGGGGCGGGGTGGGGGGAATCAGGAGCCACTGATGTTCAAGTGCCTGCCCATCCCACAGGGGGCAGGGGACCCAGGCATCCGGGTGGCCCCTCCCCAGCCCTTACCCTCCAACCCAGCAGGCTGTGCCCTGAATGTTGCCTGTCCTGAACCACCTGATGGGGAGACAAGGGAGAGGGGTGGGGGGCAGCGGATAGAACCCAAGTGTCCAGGCTCCCCCGCTCCCTGGGGGCTCCACCCACTGGGCATGGAACCCGGGCATCTGGGCGGAGATGGGGACCCAGGTGGCCAAGGAGTCTTGTCCCCCGAGGGGGAACCCAGGCATCCGGGTGGCCCAGGGGCAGGGGCGGGGGTGATGACAGCAAGGGATACCCCCAAGGGAGCCAGGTGTCCAGGCCTTCTCCCTGTGGTCTGGGGCATCCAGGCAAGCCACACCCACCAGGAAGGGGGGGAAGGGAGGGAAGGGGGTAGGGACCTGGGTATCCAGGCAGGCCTTGTCTACCAGGGATAGGAACCAAGGCGTCCAGGGCACATGGGGGTTCAGCGAGTGCAGCCTCCCATGCCCCAAAACATCCTTCTGTACCTACCCCCCACATCTCCCAGTGCCCCCCCACGTACCCAGCTTGCCCGCATTGAAGTCCGCACCCAGCCCCACTGGCACCACCACGTAGGGTCCTTGCCCCAGACCTGGGGGTGGGGGGGAAGGAAAGGGGGCAGGGTCATAATCAGGGAAGCCCTGCCCCCGCTTCTGGCCCCCCACCCGCCCCCCCAGGGACCCAGGAGTCCAGGCTGAGGGACTCACCATATTTAGCAGCTGACGGCTCTGCACCAGGGCCTCCAACCCGGCCCCCAAAAGGCCCCAGGGCACCTGCAAGTGGGGGGCGGAGGGGTAGTTAATAGGAGGGCAGTTCCCAATCTGTTGCCCCCCACCCCACAGCCCCATGGCCCCTCTCACTGCTGACCCACAGCCCCCGGGACACCTGGATTCCACCTCACTCCTGCCCCACAGCGTCCCCCCGCCCCAAGCCCTTAACCCTACCATTGCTATATCCCGGCTGCGGCCCTGGCCCTGGGCAGCCGTTGCCACCTGCTCCCCCTCCTCCGTAGCCACCAGGGGCCCCTTACCATTGGCATAAGCTGGTTGCCTTTCTCCATTCACAGGGAAGCCCCCACCTGCTGCAGGGTACCCTGTTGGAAAGATACATGAGAGGGGGAAACAAGCGGGGGGCAATGGGGTAGGAGTCTTAGCTGGGGGCAGGGGCCCTGGGGCAAGAGTGTTGGCAGGGGGGTAGCACTGCGCAGCCCTGTAGGCACTGGGGACACGCCGGTCTCTCTTCCCTGGGGCATCTCTATGGTCTGCCTCCCTCGGAGAGACCTCCCGGCACTGCCTCACCTCCCTCTCCTCCTGCCCCCAGGGGGCGCTGGGGGGGCAGAAGCCCTGGCTGGGGAGCAGTAGGAGAAAATCTTATCCCCTGCTTACCTGGTTGTATCACCCCCCCGGGGTATCCTCCCAAGCCGGGGCCAGCCCCAGGTCCTGTGGGGGGAAGAGGGAACCCTGTTAGGCCCCCGGTGTCTCTCACTCCCGACCCGCAGCCCCCGCACAGCAGTCCCCCTGACTCCCGACCTATTCCCCATAACAATGCCCCTCCTGACCCGCAGCCCCCCCACAGCAGTGCCCTTCACTCCCAACCTGCAGCCCCCTCCGTGCCTCCTCCCAGTTGCCCCACTCACCTGGTTTCTGTTTTACAACTTGTGCATACGCACCAAATCCTGGAAAGAAAATGGGGTTAGGAGCCCAGACACGTGAGTTCTGTGTCAGGGGAGTGGGGTGGGGGGTCAGAGCTGTAGGGGCCTGGGAGCCCAGACACCTGGGTTCTCCGAGCCGGGCGTTGAGAGCTGCCAGGAACGGGTTGGGGGGTCAGAGCTGTAGGGGCCAGGAGCCCAGATGCCTGGGTTCCCCAGGAGAGGTGTAGGGGCTGAGGGGTGAGAGAAAAGAGGTTTGGGAGCCTGGACGCCTGGGTTGTCTGGCAGGGGAATGGGGCTCGGGGGGCTGGAATCACAGCGGCCTGGGTTCTCTGGGTGCTTGTACATATCACAAGTATCCGGACACTCCCCCACCCCCAAACTCACCAGCTTTGCCCAGCTTGGCCGGGACCCCCAGGCCGATGCTGAAGCCGTTCTGCACCACTGGGGGGAGGCAAAAAGAGGGGGTTGTGTAAGGGTCCCAGCACCTCCCCATCCCTGCCAGGCTGCATCCTTGAAGGAGACATCCTCACAGGGCTCTGGGTTGACCCCAGCCCCCACAAACTGCCCCCCCAGGGTACCTCCAGCACCCCAGGGTGCCCCCCCATGTCAGGTCTCACCTGGGCCAGGCTGGAGTCCGTAGGGGGCATAGACGGGGACCTTCCCTGCAAGGGGGAGGGGGTGCTGTGTGAGGGAGCCCGGATGCCTGGGTTCTCTGGGGTGGGAGGGTAGGAGCCCAGATGCCTGGGTCCCCTCTTTAGAGACCTATCCAGGAAGGGACAGGCCTGGTGGATGGGAACAGGGCAACCTGGATGCCTGGGTTCAGCCCCGACCCTGGGGAAGAAGCAGGGTCTAGCAGGTACAGCCGGGAGCCCAGCCACCTGGGTTCTCTGGGGCGTGGAGGGGTGAGAGCAGGGGGGGGGCCGGGAGCCTGGACGCCTGGGTTCCTCACCTGCTTTGGCCGCCCCAGGGCCCAGGCCCCCTCCGGCCCCTGGAATCAAAGAGCCCCAGTGAGCAGAGACCACCCCCCTCCCTCCGTCCATCCATCACCTCCCATCTGCCCCCCCCCGCTCCCACTTACCACGGAGCAGAGAGGGCAGGTAGAGGCGCCCCAGCGCCCCCGGCACCTGCGGTTTCAGCCCTGCAGGGAGAGACAGGTCAGGTGAACCCACGCACCCAGCACCCCTGCTCCCACTCCTCACATTGCAGAGAACCCAGGAGTCTGGGTGCCCAGCACCCCTGCTCCCACCCCCCAACACTGCAGGGAAGCGAGGCATCCAAGTGCCCACCTCCCCTGCTCCCACCCCACCCACACTGCAGAAAACCCAGGCGCCTGGATGCCCAGCACCCCTGCACCCCTGAGCCCTGTGAGAGAACCCAGGTGTCTGGGCTGACCCCCCTGCAGGCTGGTACGAGTGAGGCAGAACAGGAGCAGCAGCGCAGCCCAGCCCATCTCTGCAGCCCCCATGGCCCCACCGCCCGGCCCGGCACCCGTCTGTGGGCCATATAGCCCCCAGCCCCGCCCCCGGCCCTGCCCCTCCGCCCCAGGCACGCCCACAGGGCTCCAGCAGGAGCAGGACAGGGTGGGGTGCCATGGGGGACGAACACAGACATGTGGACATGCAGAGCCCTGAGACACACACACGTGCACACACCCACACACCACCCTGACATGTGCACATGTGCACACAGATACAATCTGCACATGCACACGTGTGTGCATTCACAAGGTGGACATGCACACGTGCACGCAAGGAGATGGGCACACAGACTTGGTGCACACACAAATACACCTTAATGCCCACTCACATATGCACAGAGCCCTCACACACACACACACACACACCATCCTGACACACACACTTGTGCAGAGCCCTGAGACACACACGTGTACACACTCACACACAGCCCTGACACACAGACACACACGTGCACACACAGCCGCCTGACACAGGAGTGCAGAGCCCTGACACACACAGACATATGCACACACACCTTCCTGACACACCCATGTGCAGAGCCCCTGAGACACACACGTTTACACACCCACGCACAGCCCTGACACACATGTACAAATGTGCACGCACACTATTCTGATAAACACACAGGTGTGTAGAAAGCTCTCATACACATGTGTGTGTAAACACAGCCCTGGCACACACACGCTGCCCCACACACATGTCCACACGGACACAGACGCACACAGGTGCAGACACACTCAGCACTCACACACCCCCAACCCTAACACAAATGGTCACACACATTCACCCATAAACACATCCAGGCACACACAGAGGCAGAGCCCACACAAAAATGCACACACAGCACTGACACGCACACACTCACCTGGCAGTCACACACACACACACACACAAAACCCAGGTATTTGGGACACACATGCACACGCGCACACACAAACCCAGGTGTCATACAAACACACGCACATGCACAAAAACAGAACCCAGACATCCGGGACACACACACACACAACCCAGGTATCCAGGACACACGTGCACATGCACACACACAAACCCAGGTGTCTCTCACACACATGCACGCATGCAAACAGAACCTAGGCATCCAGGACACACACACACAGAGTCCAGGTATCCAGGGGACACGCACACAACCCAGGCACCACCGGGGGGGGAGGGGGGGATGTCTCAGACACCTGGGTTCCATGGGGGTGTTGGGGGGGGGGGTAGCTGTGTGTTGTCTGTGTAGCTCCACAACCACACCAGAGAGGGACTGTGGGTCGGGAGTGAGGGGCACCACAACCACCCTCCACCAGACCACTCCCCCACTCCCTCGGCTGCGAGCTTCCTCCCCAGCAGTGCCCTGGCAGGGCCTCTGGGTGTGACCTGCAGCAGCAGCCAAACCAAACGGTGCTGGGCCAACGGCGCGACGGCAGGTGCCTGCACACGTGCGGCCCCCGGCACCGCCAGAGCACAGGCCATGACACACGCAGAAACACACCACTAGTGTGTCTCTGCATGTGGGCTCACAACACGCAGAGACACTCACAACACGGCTCAGAACGCAGGGGGAGACACAACGTGGATCACAGAACAGAGACAGAAACACAGTTTGGCTCACACACACATACCTCACAGCCTGCAGCACATATAACACAGCTCAGGGCACACAGAGACACGCCACACAAACACACAACATGGCTTACAGCAACCATGTGGACATGCAACACTGACACAAAACAGGTGACGTGGCACACAGGCAGACACTCCACACAGTGCACAGAGACACACAACGCTGATGGGCAACACAGCCACAAGCACACAGGCAGGCACAGCACACAGACAAACGACACAGCGCACAGCACACGGATGGACATGCAATGCTGGCACACAACACAGCATACAACACACAGAGAGGCACACCAGACACACAACACAGCATAGAGCACACAGATGGAGACACAATGCTGACACACAACACTGCATACAGCACCCAGAGACGCACACAACAGACACAGAACACGGTACACAACACACACATGGACATGCAACACAGACACACACTGCAGCACACAGAGCATGCGGCCCCCAGACACGCAACATCCCACATAACACAGCACATGCACCACCATGCACCCCGTCTCCAGGGACGCAGTGAACAGGACACACACCGCACATGCCCCTCAACACAGGGAGTGACGCACAGACCCACAACATGGCACAAATGGCACAGCACACAACACCGCTCACACACACACACGACACACACACATGGCGCACACACAAAACCCCTAGCCCCATCTAGGTGATAAGCCCTCTGTCTGGAGAGGGAACCCAGGCTCCAAGCACCCCCTTGCTTGCCTCCCGCAGTTCCCACTCTCCTCCCAGGGAACCCAGGTGTCCAGGGACCTCCCCCACCCTCCAACCTGGGGCCTGTTTGCAGTTCCCAGCAGCCCCTGGGGCAAGCGGGGGCGGGGGCCATGGCCTAGTGACCCCCCCATTGCCCTGCGGCATTTCACACCTCCTGCCTGGCTGGTTTCCCACAGACCAAGGCATCCGGGGCCCCCTCCTCCCACCCCCTCAGTGCAGAGAACCCAGGCCCCCGGGCCCCCATCAGGTATCCACAGCCCCCCCTCCCCAGTGGTGCCCCTCACTTCCAACCCGCAGCCCCCGCATAGCATTGTCCTTCACTCCTGATTCATAGCCCCCCCATAGTGGTTCCCCTCACTCCTGACCCACAGCCCCCACATAGCAGTGCTCCTCACTCCCAACGCGCAACCCCCCCACAGTGGTGCCCCTCACTCTCAACCCATAGCTCCCCCATAGTGGTGTCCTTCACTCCCAACCCACATACCCCCACAGCGGTGCCCTTCAGTCCCGACCCGCAGCCCCTCACAGTGGTGCCCCTCACTCCTGACTTGCAGCCCCTACCATACTGGTGCCCCCTGACCCACAACCCCCCTACAGCAGTGACCCTCACTCCCGACCCCCAACCCCTCCATGGCAGTGCCCCTCAGTCCTGACCCTCAGCATCTCCCCATCCCCGTCCCCATCTGGAAACATTTAATCCCTCCCCGCATTGGCTCGGGCTCCTGGGTCCCTCCCCCCACTTTCAAGAGAACCCTGGTGTCCGGCCACACCCTGTGCGGCCTAGACAGA